AAGAGAAAAAGAAGAAGAATAGACTAGAAGGGAGAAGTAAGGACTAGTTGTTGAATGACATGGATGTAATGATTGAAGATATTCTAGTTGTGGGCTCTGTCGTTGATCTAAATGTGGATTTGAAGGCATCAAGAGTGGTTGATGAGAAGACTAATATTTTTGAGGTGGAGGTTATACGCAGACTGGAGATTTTTGTATACCGATTTGAGGGAGCGGGTGATGAAGATCCCATCTTGGCTTCGTACCGATTGATTACAACCAAAAAAGACTACAAGCTAAGGTGGACCGTGATATATTGCATTGCTATCCATGTCTTGGTTGCAATTGAAGTGATAGAGCTCATGGATGGATGCGCAATCTACAAGGCTTTGGATTGGACATAACAATTTCAAGAAGCAAAGTCTGGCTGAAGACTTAAAATTTAGCGCTTCTCGGGAGGCAACCCGAGCTTTACTGTTTTTCATATTTTTCTTTAATTTTATGTTTTATTTTTATTTTCATAGGCATGCATTCTAATTAATTTATTTGATTTCTTATTTTTAAGGTAGGAATTGCGATCGGGACAGTCATCCGAGAGACATAGAGGGCATCTTCGCAAGAGGAAAATCAGATTTCTTTCCCACAAATTCTCACACCCCGAAGACAACGATTCCGACTAAATCAGGTGTTTTCTATCCTTAAACTTTGTGCTAATTTCGTTGAGGGCAACGAAAATTTTAAGTTTGGGGGTGAAAAAAAACATGTTTTTTTGTGCTCATTTGTTTTAGTTTGCATGCATTAGGTTTTATTTATTTTTATTGCTTTTATCGTTTTTTCGGAATAAAAAAAAATAAAAATAAAAACAATTGCTTGAGTCGAATGCATCGATGAGTTATAATGATGAGAGATGATCAATGTTTAATGATGAAATTGCTTGTTTTGTTTTGATAAGGATTAGATATTTGTTTAGCTTTTGATTCAACGGAACGTAGAAGCGAATTATTGCTAGGAATCACACCTTGTGCATTGCTTTGGTTGAATGTTTTGTATTTTAAATTTGGAATTTATTTGTGCTAAATCATGCTTCGTTCGGTTTTAAAACTCACCTTAGGAAATTTATGATACGAAGTATTGAGTAGTGAGTGATTTGGGATATGATTTGGGCCTTCTTTGAACCGTTTGAGCCTTTCAAGCCGACCTTTTTATCGAAATTATCATTAAAACCTTGATTTGAGCCTCGGAGAAAAGGCGTTCTTTCTTTTAGCCAAAGTGTATAAGGTAGAAAAGTGGAGATTTTTTAAAAATTAACCCTTGGAGTTCGGTCGAAATTTTTTATAAGGTCCTTCTTCTTCAAAAAAAAAAAAAAAGACAAATATATATGCTTCTATATATATATATATAAAAAAAAGAAAAAAAAAAGAAAAAAAAAAGAGAAAAAGAAGAAGAATAGACTAGAAGGGAGAAGTAAGGACTAGTTGTTGAATTGTTTTGAAAGCTCGATTCATTGTCTTAAGAGAAAAGTGGAGACTTTTGAACTCTTAAGAATCGAGTTTATTAAAGTCCTTACAGGTGAATTCATGGTTTCAAACGCCTATCTTTCAAATTTTGGCGTAATCACCTCAATTCAAGAAGAATAGCCACATATACCCATATTTCCTACCTCGAACCAAATAGCCAAACAATTGAAAGCCAAAAAGCCCCAATGATCCCAATAGCTTAATGTTCGATATTAGTAGAGTAGAATATTTTGGTGAGTATTTGGAGTCAAACATATACATGTAAGCATAACTTTTTTCTATCTTTAATTTACAAATATAGGATGCTTGAAGCAATTGCATGATTTGTGATTTTTGGCTATGGTAAGTGACTAAGTGCTTTTGAATTTTGAGCTTGCGAATGCCTAAGAATTTTCATTATAATTACAAGTTCTGAAAACGTGAAGTTAGTCATTAATCTATGTGATGAGATGCGGTAGTTGAGTTTTTGCTTACGATTAGATTTTGCTTGAGGACAAGCAAATGTTCAAGTTTGGGGGTGTGTTGAGTGTAGATATTACACTCAATACGTTTACTTTACGTGGAACTTTTGTTTAGATTTAATTATATTTGTGCTTTAATTGATTGATTTTGTGTTTTATAGGTGAAAAACGAGAATTAGGTGTCCATGAAGGAAAAAAGATCAAAAAGAAAGGAAAAAAGTTGCAAATAAGGAAACAAATCAAATTGGAAGAAGGAATCCCGCCACAGCTTTGACAGTGTCCACCATTTCGAGCATATCTCTCTCATACGAACTCCGAATTAGGTGATTTGGACGGCATTGGAAAGCTAATTTCAAGGGCTACAATTCTTATTTACACAATATTCCAAAATTCGGACTCCAACATGGCACAAATCGACAAACAAGTCCTGGTGGGGGAAAGTGACGGAAATTGATTCCTATTAGGTTTCCTCTACTTCCTTATCAAGAAAAGCCTATAAAAGCAACAAGTCTCTACACCATAAGCACGAAATTTTACACCACAAAACGCGGAGAACGAAGATCAACGAAGACTCAAGCATAGTTTTTCTTATTTATTTTATTTATTCTATTTTGTTTATCATAAGAATTACGAGTAGCTAAGCTTTTAATCTAGGATTTTATTGGAACCCTATGTGGGGATGGTGATCCCGTTTTCTTGAGATTATGCAATTATGATTTTATGATTATTTCTTATACTTGTTATGATTGTTAGTGCATGAACTTGATCAATTTATGTGGTTTATCTGTGATTATTGGGATCGACTCGACAGAGCTATTTTGATAATTAGACGGTAAGTATAAGAACCTTCGAGTAGTTTTCACCGGATGAGTGTGTCAATTGCATGTGGTGTCGTAGACATACAGATATCGCCTTAGGTAGCCTTTTACGAGACTTGTTAGTTAATGCTTTATTCATAATTTGTTTGCATAGACATATAGTGAACCGTTTATGAATAATAGACTCATAATACACGCGACAGCGGGTTATGAGTAAATTAGTGTCTCGGGTTAATAATCATGAATCATATATTTCATAATTGAGGGGTTTTGGGTGAGCAATTCTTGCATAGGGGGAAGATAAAATTCTAGATCCGTTTTTATATTGATATTCTCTCTTGTTTATTTGCTTTCCTAATTAGTTTAATTTATTTAGTTGATTAAATTTGACAACTTTGCGTAGGCTGGATAAGAATCATAATTGTTAGAATTTGGTACTTAGAATTAGGTAATTTGAGTATTCCCTGTGGGATCGACATCCGACTCTTACGAGTCCACTTTTACTACTTGTTTGCGATACGTGCACTTGCGTGTTAGTTATTTAGCACCCAACAATTACCCCCAACCCTTTATACCCAATTCTTAATTGTAACCCCAATTTAATCAATTTTGTCCACAAAAATCCAATTTTGACCACAAAAATTCAGTTTTAACTTTTTTTTTTCAAAAAGTTTTTTTTGCCGCCGAATTCCGGCGTTGATTTTTCGATTTTTTTTTTCTTCCAGATTTATTCGCCGGTTTCCGGCTTTGACTTTCTTTTTCTTCCGGATTTTTTCGCCAGTTTTCGGCGTTTACTTTTTTTAGTGTTTTTTTTGAGAGTTTTTTTTTTTCTTTTTTTTTACGTCCGCCGCTAAACGTTGACCGTAATGGTGCTGTCACTGACAGTAAATTAACGTAATTATACTGTAATGACAGTTAATTAACGTAATTGTACTGTCGTTGACAATACATTTATGTAATTGTGCTGCCGTTGACAGTAAATTAATGTAATATTATTATTATATCTTTTTTGCTATTTTTTTTTATTTTGTTTGATTTGTTGACAAATCAACGTAATTATATTACTGCAGTTGACAGTAAAATGACTGTAAACACAATATTATTATTATCAACAACGTCAATATTATTAATTTTTTTTTGGTTTTTTGTTTTGTTTGAGTTATTCACGGAGTAACGTAACAATATTACTGTATATTATTGTAATATTACTGTACACACAATAATCTTACTGTGGTTGACGGTAATATTACTGTTGTTATAGTAATATTGCTATTAATCACATCAATATTATTATTTTGTTTGGATTTTTTTTGTTTGAGTTATTCACGGAGTAACGTAATAATAATACTGTCTATTATTGTAATATTACTGTGGTTGACGGTAATATTATTGTTGTTATATTAATATTACTATCACTCACAGTAATATTATTTTTTTTGGCTTTTTATTATGTTTACATTTGTTGAACGGTAAACATAGTAATATTACTCTATTACACAATAATAATGAGTTTTGTTGTGTTAATATTACTGTGCTAGAGATTAATATAGCAATATTACTATGTTAAACTGTAGTTTAGTTAATTTTACTGTGTTTACCTGTAATATAGTTAATATTACTGTCAATCACATCAATATTGTTGTTTAAATGAAAAAAAAAATGTTATAGAAAGGAAAAAAAAATCAAAAAAGTTAACGTCGGAGACCAGCGTTGACCGCAATATTTCAGTATTTTACAAAAATTTTGACAATGTGTGGACTTATTGGTAAAAGAATTTTTTTATCTGAATTTTCTTATGAATAAGTAGCCATTAATGGGCTTATTTGTAATGACCCTAATTATTACTAATAGTTGGGAAAATTGAAAATTCCTCTGTACTTGAGTGTTTAGCATTTAAAGTAGAACATATGATGCCATAATATAGTAATAGTACTATAGAGTAAAAAAATGAATTTAATTGATAAACTAAAAGTAATAAATAATAAGAAATTGTTTAATGCGGAGAAGATGATACATACGACTTTGTAAATGGAGAATAAATGCGAAAGGGATATGATTAAAGCAAGGTTTCAGCAGAACCACACAAGTTTCAAAAATAATTGAGTAGAGCTGTACGTAGTACACATACATATCTATCTATATCTTCATCATAAATATCTTATTCTTCCAAAAAAATAAAAGACATATCTTCCGATCAGTTTAATTTAGCTAAGAAATAATAATAGATGGCAGCTTACGCAGCTCTAATTTCTGTTATGAATATCATAGAGCAGATCAAGCTTCATCCTCACCCTCCAATTTCTCTCGACCAAATTCAGATTGAACCTCTCGTTAAAAACGTGACTTTCTTTCTCGACTTTCTTGAATGTTATTCCCAGTTAATTAGCAGCAAAGACACATACCACTTATTGGAGAGTCGGATTGCAAACGCAACTTATGCGGTCCAAGACATAATCGAATCCCACATAGTCGATCAAATCCACGGGGCAAACATCGCTTCGGATAAAGAATTCTATAACTGTCTAAAGGAAGTGATACAAGAAATGGATTTTATCAAGAAAGAAGTGATGCAGATGAAAGAGAATAACATGGGATTATTTCTCCATAAAGATTCATCGACGGTTGATATTGGCCCGTTAAGATCTCGTTTAACGGGACAAAATGCAACCGTGGGATTCGATGACGTCATGGAAGAGATGATGGATATGCTGACCGGACGACAATCCACTCGCCAGATCATTCCAATTGTAGGTATGGGCGGCATCGGTAAGACTACGCTTGCTCGAAATCTTTACGTGAGTCGACTTATAGTTAGACACTTTGATATGCTTGCTTGGGCTACAATATCTCAAGAGTATAGTATGAAAGGAATCCTTTTAGAGATTCTTCTTTGTATTAAAAGCCAAGAGAGTAAGGAAACTTATAGTGCAATGAGGGAAGATGAATTAGGCCTTGTGTTGCATAAAACTTTAATAGGTAGAAGGTATTTGATTATAATGGACGACATGTGGAGTATCGAGGCGTGGGAATTGGTTAAGTTCTTCTTTCCGGATAACAATAACGGAAGTCGAATAATTGTAACCACTAGGCTAAGAATTGTGGCTTCTCAATTAACCGACTCTCGTGGCATTGAGATGAGTTTTCTAGACGACCATCACAGTTGGAACCTACTTTGCCGGAATGTTTTTGGAGAACAAGATTGTCCTAATCTTGAATTGGAGGAAATTGGTAAGGAGATTGCGAAAAGTTGTAAAGGGCTTCCTTTGTCGATTGTGGTGATTGGAGGACTTTTAGCAAAGTCGGCACGTACGCGAGAATATTGGGAATACGTTCTAGAAAATATATCCTCGATTGTGAATTTAGAGGATAATGAGCGTTGCTTGAGAATACTAAACATGAGTTATGACCATTTGTCGGTTCATCTGAAGCCATGTTTTTTGTATTTGGGATCGGTTTTTCCAGAGGATGATAAAATTCACGTCTCGTGGCTCATCAAACTATGGGTTGCCGAAGGATTTCTGAAACCGAAAAGTGGGAAAAGCATGGAGTTAGTTGCGGAAGAGTACTTAAACGACCTTATTGAGAGAAACCTCATTTTAGTACACACCCGCGGCTCTACCGGAAATATAAAGTTGTGCAACATCCATGATCTCTTGAGGGACTTATGCTTACGACAAGCTCAAAAAGAGAATTTTGTTTGTGTCACAAGACTGCATGGTATACCACAAATAGATACACATCGTCGAGTTTGTATTCATCGAATGGATAATGAGGAATATACCCCTCAACTCATGAGTAATAGTGCCTTTCAATCTCCATCACTTACTCGTTCTTTGATAATCGATTTTAAGGAGGTTTTGCCATATCTAAATACGAAGATGCTGAGGGTATTGAAATCGAACGATCGAGCTTTGTACTATGGAGAGACAAGTTCGGTGGAAGCTATTTTTCGGTTAGTCAACCTACGGTACCTTGCTTTTAGAGTCGATTGGATGTCGATTTCCAACCACCTATCTTCACTCCACCTTCTCTGGAATCTACAAACACTAATCGTGTACGGCGCATGGAAAACTAAAGCACCACCCGAAATTTGGAAGATGCATCAACTAAGGCATATCGAGTTCATAATGCTTGATCTCCCCGATCCTGAAATGGACGGACGAGATCGAAATGGCATAACTGTCTTGGAGAACCTACAAACACTCCTCCAATTAAGGAACTTCAAATGTGGTGAAGAGGTGGTGAAGAGAATTCCCAACATCAAGAAACTGCAAGTATACTACGAGAATCTCGATGATCTGTCATGTTATTGTCTGAACAATCTTTGTCGTCTCGAAAAACTCGAATCACTCGGCTGCATCTTCGCTCCGGAAGAGAAGCCGATTAAAATTCGGAGCTATTTACTACAAAACCTCAACTTCCCAAACTCACTCAAGAAGTTGTCGTTAGATCGGACTTGTCTTAGTTGGGAAGACATGTCGGTAAAGATCGGTTCGTTGCCGCTTCTTCAAGTGCTCAAATTGTATACGGATGCTTTTAAAGGAGACGAGTGGGAAACGGTTGAAGGGCAGTTCTGTAATTTAAAGTTCTTGCTAATAGAAGGCTGTGGCGAATTGAGGTGTTGGAGAACAGAGAGCTCTCATTTTCCGTGCCTTGAGCAACTCTTTCTTCGAGATTTGGATGAGTTGGAGGAGATTCCTTGGGGTATCGGAGAAATACCGACGCTCGAAACTATTGTTCTGAAATATTGCAGCGATTCTGCTGTTTTTTCGGCTAAGGAAATATTGGATGAACAAGAGGAATATGGGAATGTTGGCCTTCGAGTTAGAGTTCATTTCTGGGACGAGAGCGAATTGGAGAGTTTGGCATGTCCTAACTTTCAAGTTAATATTGACTGATCATATTTCATTTATATATCTATATCAAGTTTTTTCTTCTTTTTTTTTTCTTTTTTTTTTTTTTTTTTTTTCTCTTTAGCAAATAATTAGCTTCATTATGCCCTTTTTTTTTTCCTAAATACTATAATTAGGGTTTTTTTATGTGGAAATCCTTGACAACTCAGGTTGATTAATCTAGATTCAGCCATTTGTTCTTTTGCACAAATAAACTCATCCCTTCAACATATATTATATCCCTTCGCCGTTGACTTCTTTTAGTGTTTTTTTTCCTAAAATTTTTATCCGTTTTTTTTACGTCCGCCGCTGAACGTTGACCCTAATTGTACTGTCATTAAAAGTAATTATACTGTCGCTGACAGTAATTGTATTGTCATTGACAGTACATATGTCAACCACAACAATATTATTATTTTTTTTTTGGTTTTATTTGATTTGATTTGATTTGTTGACAAGTCAACGTAATTATATTACTATCGTACTGTCATTGACAGTACATATGTCAACCACAACAATATTATTTATTTTTTTTTTGGTTTTATTTGATTTGATTTGATTTGTTGACAAGTCAACGTAATTATATTACTATCGTTAACAGTAAAATTACTACAAACACAATGATTTTACAGTCAACCACATCAACTTTTTTTTAATTTTTTTTTTGCCTTTTTTGTTTTGTTTGATTTATTGACCGATTAACGTAATAATATTACTGTGTACTATTGTAATATTACTGTAAACACAATAATATTACTATGGTTGATGGTAATATTACTACGGTAATATTACCGTCGTTATAGTAATATTATTGTGGATGACAATAATAATACCGTTAACCACATCAATATTATATCTTTTGGCTTTTTATTTTGTTTGCCTTTGTTGAACGATCAACTTATTAATATTACTCTATTAACACAATAATAGTGATTGAAATATTACTGTGATAGAGAGCAATTCAACAATATTATTGTGTTAAACTGTGGTATAGTTAATATTACTGTATTAAACAATAATATAGTTAGTATGACTATCAACCACAACAATATTTATGTTCAAACGAGGAAAAAAGATGTTAAAGAAATAAAATTCAAAAAAACAAAAGTCAACGTCGCCGGAGACCGGCGTTGATGATAAGTGGTCGTTTTGCACGATTTTTGCTTATCAAATCTTCGAGTTTTGGTCTTCGCTCGTCCGAGTTTCGGCTTTATTTGTTTATATTATTGCGTTTCTTGTTTTATTTCCTTTTTTAGGTTTTGTTAGCTTTTGTTGCCAAGTCGAAGCCATTTGGAAGCGAAACCGATTTTTCAAGCCGAGAAAGTGGTCATTAAGACCCATATCGCGATCCAGGAAAGTCGGATCGCGATCTGGTGACAAATTCCAGTAGCAAGCAAAGTTCAGACCCAGATCGCGATCCAGGAAAGTCGGATCGCGATCTGGTGACAAATTCCAGTAGCAAACAATATTCAGACCCAGATCGCGATCCGCACTTCCTGGATCGCGATCTGGGAGGCGGTTCACGTTTTTTTTGAGAAGCCAGATCGCGATCTGACTTTATTGGATCGCGATCTGGCACGATTTTCAAGGGCAGATATTTTAAAAAGCAAAGCTTCTTGAGGAAGCTTTGCAATTTACTATAAATTGAAGCAAGCCCTCACTCTTCGTTCTACTTCGACTTTTTACGGTTTTCGACGGTTCTTCGCGGGAATCATCAACGGGGGTTCCGACTTGGGTTTTTCTTACGCAATTTCTTTATGTTTTGTTCTTCATTTCCTTTGTACATTCTTTTGATACTATGTTTGTTATGAACTAAGAACATTTTCTTCTAGGGCAATGAAGCCTTGTATATATTGATTTCGATCGTCATTTCTGTTATCTATTTATCGTGTTTTGATTTCGTTTATGTTTTCCTGTATTAAATGCTTCTGATTGTGTTGATCAGCTCTCAGATTGATATTAAATAGGAATGAACTCGAGAGAGGATTTCTTGTTTGAAGTTAGGAAAACATAGCTCGGGGTGTGGAAACGGAGACGTGATGCACTTCGGGTAGCCCTTAAGGACTTGGCCTAAATGCTCTCTTAATAGCAGGTTCTGAACGGAGACGTCGGACCTGTGGGTAGACTCTAACTACACTGGAGACGGGGGTTAGAGTACATTAGCGTCTGGGTTAACGAATAGGAGCGTGAATTTAGATAGCGGATTTGTCGATCGTTGTTGATTATACCTAGGTGGATTTGGCCCTAGAAGTCCCCTTTAAATCGAAGTCCCCCGCGTTGAGTTGTCGTTACTTTATTTACGTACATTCTATATTTGCATGTTTACGATCTTGCATGCTTTTAAATTAGGGTTTCTCACCAATCCACTTATTTACGATCGGCTAGATAATATAACGATAATATAATTACACTACTCAGCATTTGAATCTACAAGGTCCCTGTGGATCGATATCCGGAACCACTGTTCTGCAAAATGCGATACCGTATACTTGAGGTAATTTATACGTGAGGAAAACGCGTATCAAGTTTTTGGCGCCGTTGCCGGGGACCAATTTGATTTTATCTTTGTTGATAGTGTTACCAATTATCTGATTATTACTTTAGCCATTTACATGTTTTATGTTCGATTTTTACCTTGATCTTAACCACTCACTTTGTTTATGCCCAGGCGTCGAAATTTGGAAATCATACCTTACGATCCCGAAATTGAAAGGACATTACGTAGACTAAGGGCCACGCGCAACCAACAAAGTGAACCAATGGCCGAAGATCAAGGAAATCCAGAGCACCTGGCCTTTGAGTACGATCGAGAGCCAGGACGAGATAACGAGCAGCCAAGACCGAACCTGCCACCCGAGCGAACAATGCGAGAATACCAAACTCCAGCTATGAATGAGAACTATTCGGGAATCAGGAAACCGACGATAGCCGCAAATAACTTCGAGCTGAAGACGGGGCTAATCAACATGGTCATGGCGAACCAATTCTCCGGAGCAGCCACTGCGGATCCGAATCTCCATCTTGCCAATTTCTTGGAGATTTGTGACACGATCAAAGTTAACGGCGTTTCTGATGATGCCATTCGGTTGAAGCTTTTCTCATTTTCTGTCAGAGACAAAGCGAAGAGTTGGCTTCTGAGTCTTAATCCAGGATCACTCACCTGTTGGGAAGAATTATCACAAGCCTTTCTGGCACGATTCTTTCCACCCTCGAAGACCGCACAACTACGAAGAGATGTAGGCAATTTCAGACAGATGAGCCAAGAGCCGATGCACGAGTCTTGGGAGAGATTCAAAGACTTATTACGACAATGCCCTCAACACGGATTCAACCCGTGGGATCAAATGGAGTTATTCTACAATGGGCTCGATCAACCAGCCCGATCTCTAGTCGATGCTGCCTCAGGTGGATCATTGCAAAACAAGACTCCCACAGACGCTCGAGACATTGTCGAGCGAATGTGTGAAAATGCTTACCATTGGCCGTCCGAACGGAGTGGTATACAAAAGGTGGCCGGAGTCCACCAACTCGATCCTTTAGCCGCAGATTCAGCACAATTAGCGATCCTATCAAATCAGGTCGCCCAAATTTCAGTTCGAGGGCCACAGACCGAACGAGTAGCAGCAGCAAGTACCTCACAAGCCACAAACGACGATTGGGAGCAGGCACACTTTATGAACCACCGATTCAACAATTTCCGGGGAACCCACAATCAGAACCAAAACCCTACTCATTATCACCCGGGAATTCGGAATCACGAGAACTTCTCCTATGCCAATCCGAAGAATGCTCTACAACCACCTCCCGATCTCAACCATCAAAGAGAGCAACGAGGGCCAACGTATGACGAGCGTCTTCACCGACAAGAACAGGAAATGGAGGGCCTGAAATCAACAATGAAGAACATGGAAAAGCAAATAGGGCAAATCGCCCAATCCATGTCCACAATGGCCAAAGGTGGATTTCCGAGCAATACCGAAGTCAATCCAAAAGAAAGCTGTCAAGCCATAACCACCCGAAGTGGTTTGCAAATGACCGATCCTCCTTATCCGACGGACGAATCACCAAGGCCAGCTGTACAACCGACCCCGGTCGAGCCGGAAATCACCATTTCAGGGAGTAGTACAAAAGAGGCTAGTAAGCCCAATAACATTTCTTTTCCTGATAATCCCCCTCTTATGGTAACTCCTATTCCTTTTCCAGAAAGACAGAAGAAGAAGAAGTTCAAGGATCAATTGAAGAAGTTCATCGAAAAGATCAAACAGATTCGAATCAACATCCCTTTTGCGGAAGCCTTGGAGGTAATGCCAAACTACACCAAGTTCATGAGGGAAGTCCTATCCAAGAAAATTCGAATCGAAGAAGACACACCGGTGACACTCACGGCAACTTGCAGTGCCATTCTTCAGTCGAATCTACCACCAAAAATGAAAGATCCAGGGAGTTACACTATTCCTTGTATTATTGGCAATTCTACTTTCGATAAAGCTTTATGTGATTTGGGGGCAAGTATTAATTTGATGCCTATGTCTGTGTTTCTAAAACTGGGCTTAGGAAATTTGAACCGCACTCGCATGACTTTACAACTAGCTGATCGTTCATTGAAATATCCCGATGGGATTGTAGAAGATGTGCTAGTTAAAGTAGATAAATTCATTTTGCCTGTTGATTTTGTGGTACTTGAAATGCCTGAAGATGATGAAGCACCAATCATTTTAGGTCGTCCATTCTTAGCTACTGGTAAGGCGATGATTGATATGGAATTAGGATCTTTAATGCTTAGGGTAAATGGGGAAGAAGTTGTTTTTAATTTGACAGATGCATTTAAACACTCTGAGCATGTTGAGCATTGCAGTAGAATAGACGTGATCGAGGACTGTGTTTCCTCCTTTTTTGATTTGTATGAATTATGTGATTCTGTTGAGCACTGCATTGTTAATTCTATTGATTTGCATTCTGCCTCCCCTGAAACTCCTATTGAAAATGATGTGCTTGATTGTGTGTTGTTTCTTGAGTGTGCCGAGACTTTGGGCGTAGACGAGGTAGGAATCGTCCCCGAGATACCAGTTAGTGTGAATACGACCCCCGTACTAGAATTGAAGCAATTACCGGATTATCTTTGTTATGCTTTTCTTGGAGCAGACAAGACTTATCCGGTGATTATTTCTTCTAGTTTGAGCGAGGCCGAAACAAACACACTGCTGGAAGTCCTTAGAGAATATAGGTCAGCTATAGGTTGGTCTATTGAGGATATTAAGGGAATTAGCCCGTCTATTGTTCAACACAAAATTCTAATGGAAGACGTCTATAAACCGAGAGTCCAACCTCAGAGGCGGTTAAACCTGTCAATGAAAGAGGTAGTCAAAAAAGAAGTCTTGAAATTGTGAGGCGCTGGTATGATTTATGCAATTTCTGACAGTCCGTGGGTCAGTCCGGTGCAGGTTGTGCCAAAAAGGGGTGGGATGACGGTTATTGTGAATGATAAAAATGAACTTATTCCGTCTAGAACAGTCACTGGGTGGCGTGTGTGTTTCGATTACCGATTATTGAATGCAGCCACTAGAAAAGACCATTTCCCTCTTCCCTTTATCGATCAAATGCTAGACAGGCTAGGAGGTTTCGAGTATTACTGTTTTCTTGATGGGTATTCGGGGTACAATCAAATTTCAATCGCCCCGGAAGACCAAGAGAAAACTACTTTTACTTGCCCCTACGGTACTTTTGCATTTCGTAGGATGCCTTTCAGTTTGTGTAATGCGCCTGCTACCTTTCAACGTTGTATGATGTCTATATTTCACGATATGGTAGAAGAGTTTCTTGAGGTGTTTATGGATGATTTTTCTGTGTTTGGATCGTCTTTCGATCATTGTGTGCACAATCTAGAACTTGTTTTGAAAAGATGTACAGAAACGAACCTTGTTTTAAATTGGGAAAAATGTCATTTTATGGTTCGTGAAGGTATTGTTCTAGGTCACAAGGTCTCGAAAAAGGGTCTTGAGGTGGACAGGGCAAAAATCGAAACGATTGAAAAATTGCCTCCACCGAAGGATGTCAAGGGGGTTAGAAGTTTTTTAGGGCATGCTGGGTTTTACCGTAGATTCATTAAAGATTTTTCGAAAATAGTAAAACCATTATGTCATTTGCTTGAGAAGGAAGCTGTCATTGATTTTGATTCTGCTTGTTTGCAGGCTTTCACGTTTCTCAAGGAGAAGCTAACCCAATCACCGATCATGATTACTCCCGATTGGGAGGAACCATTCGAGATCATGTGCGATGCGAGCGACTATGCCGTAGGTGCAGTGTTGGGACAAAGGAGGGACAAAATCTTCAAAGCCATCTACTATTCGAGTCGTACACTTGACCAGGCACAGAAGAACTATTCAACGACCGAAAAGGAAATGCTTGCTGTTGTTTATGCCGTTGACAAGTTCAGACCGTATATTTTGGGGTCTCAGGTGATCATTTACACCGACCACGCAGCTATTCGATACTTGTTCGCAAAGAAGGACGCCAAGCCCAGACTCATCAGATGGGTACTCCTACTCCAGGAGTTCGACTTGGAAATCAGAGACAAAAAAGGGAGTGAGAATGTGGTGGCAGATCATCTTTCCAGACTCATACTAGGAGAAGTTCCAGCCGAAGGAAATATTCAGGAGTCCTTCCCAGACGAGCAACTGCTCGCCATTAGTACTCACACTCCGTGGTATGCTGATGTGGCCAACTTCTTGGCCAGTGGAATCATTCCCGACGATCTTTCTTATCATCAAAAGAAAAAATTCCTTCACGACAGTCGTTTCTATCTTTGGGACGAGCCATTGCTTTTCAGAACCGGCCCCGATCGTGTCATCCGAAGATGTGTTCCGGAAACAGAAGTACGTGAGATTCTCACCCATTGCCACTCTTCACCTTGTGGCGGGCATCACGGGGAATCTCGCACAGCCGCCAAGGTTTTGCAGTCAGGCTTCTTTTGGCCAACCCTATTCCGAGATAGTTACGAGTTCGTGAAACGGTGTGATCGATGCCAACGAACAGGGAACCTATCCAACAAAAGCCAAATGCCTTTGAACAACATGCAAGAGGTGGAACTTTTCGATGTTTGGGGCATAGACTTCATGGGACCATTCCCATCTTCGAACGGGAAGTTATACATTTTGCTTGCCGTGGACTACGTGTCCAAATGGGTCGAAGCAATTGCCACCACTACCAACGATGCTCGTACGGTCCTCAAATTCTTCCACAAGAACATCTTCTCAAGGTTTGGGACACCCAGGGCAATCATTAGCGATGAAGGATCTCACTTCTGCAACAGACTGCTCACTAATCTCACGAACAAGTTGGGGATCCGACACAAAATTGCGCTAGCCTATCATCCACAAACAAATGGCCTTGCTGAGTTGTCAAACCGAGAAATCAAACAGATTCTGGAGAAGACCGTGAGCACGAACCGAAAAGATTGGGCATTGAAGCTCGATGATGCACTTTGGGCCTATCGAACCGCATTCAAGACACCGATTGGGATGTCTCCGTACAAACTCGTGTATGGGAAAGCGTGCCACCTGCCAGTGGAATTGGAGCACCGAGCTTATTGGGCAGTCAAAAAGCTCAATTTCGATCAAACAGCTACCGGCGATCGTCGATTGCTTCAACTCAACGAAATGGAGGAGTTCAGAAATGATGCTTACGAAAATGCCAAGATTTACAAAGAAAAGACGAAAAAGTGGCATGATAAAAGAATTACAAAGCGAGAGTTCCGGGCAGGTGACCAAGTCTTGCTATTCAATTCTCGGCTACGACTATTTCCGGGAAAGCTCAAGTCCCGTTGGTCAGGACCATTCGTAGTCCTGAGCGCAACCCCACAAGGAGTAATCGAAATACGAGGACGAGACGGTCCATCGTTCAAAGTGAATGGGCAACGAGTTAAGCATTACTACCCGAATGGTGCTCCCGAGGAAGTGGAGCGTGTCGCACTAATTTTCTCCCAATAAATCCAAAAGAAGTCAAGCCGTCGACTGTAAAACAGGCGCTAAATGGGAGGCACCCCATTGTTGCTCATTATCTGTCATTTTCCTTTTTGATCTTGTTTTCGTTTTTATTTTTTTTCATTTTCGTGCATTTTTATAATTTAGGGTTCAACATCTCTATCTTACCCATTTAAAATTTTCGTTTTGGCAGGTTTTTGGTGTCCCAGATCGCGATCCAGGTAAGTCGGATCGCGATCTGGGGCGTTTTTCCAGTAGCAGCGAATTTTGGGCCCGGATCGCGATCTGGGACGTTTTTCCAGAAGCTGAAATTTTAAAGGCCAGATCGCGATCCAGGTAAGCCGGATCGCGATCTGGGGCCTTTTTCCAGAAGCTGCAAGGTGAGCCTCCAGATCGCGATCCGGGTATTGTGGATCGCGATCTGGGGCCGAAAAACAGTTCAAAGGCTGACCCCCCCCCTTCATTTTCTTATTTCCCTTTTTTCTAATTCCAAACCCTAACCCCTCCCCAATTTCAAAATCTTCAAATTTCTATCATAAAAGCACATCAATCACACACTTGAACATCACAAATTCACGATTTGCACATTTACTCCAAGAATTTGTGGGTGAATCTTCAAGAAAAGGTAAATTTTCAATCTAATGTTCATTTCTTTCATTTTCTTCAATTCTTTCGAATTTCCCCAAAATTTCATGATTTTTTCCCCTTGTTTGTTAATTGTGTATGCTAGTACGTGATTTTGTACTTGGTGTTGGGATTCAAAACATGAATTTGCGGGTGAACCAATGTTTAGATATAGGAATTGCCCTATTGTTCTTAATTTCGAACTAAAGGATAAAATAAAGATTTGAATGACTTGGGTTGATTGTTTAGCTACCTATTGTTAATTGTGGTGGTGGATTCTGACTTGGGTGTTGTGATTGATGTAGGAGGGATAGGTACCGAACAACCGGTGGAAATCAAAAGGCTTACCAAGTTGGGCACGCCAAGTGTTCGACAAAATTCCCGAACCAACTTCCAAAGGCTTTCAACCCTCCATCTCGCACAAATTCGATCGAAATGACGTCGCCGGCCAAGAAACTCTTAAAGACGGGCGAAACCACCAAAAAAGCCCAACCCAAGGAGAAGGCTCTGGCAAAGGGAAAAGCCGCACCGAAGAAAAAGGCAGCTTCTCGAGGCACGGGAAGCCAAGAAGGCACTTCGAGCGCACCACCACCATCTCAGGTGCCAGAAGAGCAACAAACCCCACGCACGGGAAACGTGCAACTTGAGATGGGATCCCGGGCTAATCAACACACCATCCTTGACCGCGTAGTCCTCGAACCGGGAGATGAGTTTTTGTACGTGAACGTCGAGGCCAAAAGGGAATTCATACGTCGCCATAGCCGACCGTTTGTTCCAGAAAGGGAATTAGACATCGATGGCATGGAAAAAGAATCGATCAAAGAAAATTTTGATCGTCGACAATGGAAGTACTTGGCCAAACGACCGGAGGACTACAACGAGAATCTAGTGAGGCTCTTCTATGCCAATGCCGGTTTTCACCCGGGGTCGGTGGTCGTTCTTCGAGACAAAGAGGTGCGCTATGACGCTGCTACAATCAACAAGTTTTTCCACCTACCCGAAGTCTCGACCGAGCCGTTTCAACAACTGAAGATGGCAACGACCTATGAGGAGCTGATTCAGACTCTTTGCCCTAGGGGTTCGAAGTGGCAAAAAGGAGAGCACTGGTTCCGTCGGGGGGAACTTTCAAGGGAAGCGAAGGTGTGGATGTACTTCGTCAGTAGCAGGCTCATGCCCACAAAATCGACGGCCAAGACCTATGCCCCACGTCTTACACTGATGTATGCCATTATGAAGAGGACACCTGTGAATGTGGGCGCGATCATACACGCTGAGATCCGACGATGCTTAGGTGATACCTCTCTAGGTCTGATGTTCCCTTCCCTCATCACTACACTGTGTGATCGTGCAGGGGTCCCAACATACACGGATGACCGGCTCACCAGGTCACCACAGCCTATCTTCCCTTACCACAAGCTCCAGCCAGCGAGTGGACCCCTAGGCGAGGGTGACTCAGACTTACCAGATGCGGGTCCCTCAGGTGTTCATGCGGCTCGACCAGAACAAAGGGCCAGAAGAGGCAGACAAGAAGCAGAACCACAGCTTCCAGAGTATGTCGGCCAATGGATGGATGTTATGGAGGAAAATGTGGGATGGTTCAAGAAAATGATGAAGGCCATGGCTGCAGCGCTTCAGTGCAGGACCGATGACATTGTCGAGCCACGGCCGTTCCCACCACGGCCTCGATATGATGGAGCATCAACCTCCGCCGCCGACGAGCAAGCACAAGCGGCAGCCACTACACTGGTGGCACAGGCCTGGGAGGAGTACGAGCGGGGACGACC